TAGCAAAGGTAAGATCTCTTCAAATTGGTTTTTTCTTTCGTTTTTTGGGTTGGTTTTGAAGACTTAAGTGATATAGAGGCTTAAGGAAAGTTCAAAGATGATTAAAACTAAAAGATTAGTGATTTATTAGAGATTTAATAAAATGGGTTTTTAAGTGATTTGATGAAATAAGGTTAGTTATTGGAGTTTAAAGGCATATTTGACTTGTAAAAGAAGTAAATAAGATATTTGGAGCCTTAGAAGTGTTTAATAACATGTTTGGAAATTTGGTGTGATTCTTAGTTTTGAGTGTTCTTTGGATATTTTGGATGTTATAAGGAGATTTATGGATATAAGTTAGTTTGGATAAGTGATAAGGAGTTTAATTGTTTGGTCGGGGAAAATAGTAAGACATTTAGATGGAATTTGTGTAAAATTCGAAGTAAAAGAGGTAAAATTTGGGTAAGGGTATCAGTACTGGAAGAACAGTATCGATACTATAAGGTTAAATTAGAGGATTCAGATGAACATTATCGATACCGGTTTTAAGAAGTATCGATACTGAGGTGTAGGTATCGATACAAAGAGGAAGGTATTGATACCGTAATCAAAAATGAAATTTTATAATGCTAAAATGATATCGATACCGAAGTGGGTATTGGTACCATAGAAGAGAAGTATCAATACTATAGAAGGGGTATCGATACTATTCAGTCTGAAATGTTAAGTTAGGGTGAATTTTGATAGAATTCGAAATTAATAGTACTTTTGAGAATTATTACTTTGGATAAATGTTAGAATGTAAACTAACATTTGTATTATATGTGTGATTATGGATGCTTGTGTAGATCGTAATCAAGCTCCTGAGGCAAGTAAACATAAAGGCAAGGATAAAGTCGCAAAATAGTTGGACTACATGAGGGCATAATAGTGAGACAAACCAGGTGAGTGCATTTCTTATGTACTTATATGTTATGAGGATGAACTTTTATATTGTTTAACGGATATCGATGTTTCAGAATAGATGTTTAATCTACTAATTTGATCTGAAAAAGTCTATTGTATATACACTGAGAGTCATAGGTGCATTCTGTTTAATGCATATGTTGCATTGTTGTATCGGTACTATGTGTACTATCGACACTATGTGTACCATATCGACACTATGTGTGCAACTCACGGAATTCATAATGAGTTTGTGAATTACCGTATTGACACTATCTGTGCAACTCGCGGAATTCATAATGAGTTTGTGAATTAGCATATCAGCACTATGTGTGTAACCCACATAATTCATAATGAGTTTGTGAATTACCATATCGGCACTATGTGTGCAACCCACGAAATTCATAATGAGTTTGTGAATTACCGTATTGGCACTATGTGTGCAACCAAAGGAAATTATAATGAGTTGTAATAATTAATTTGTATTTTGACAGTTAGGATATATTTATGTTTTGATTTCACCTCATTATTATTAAGCCTCACTAAGTGAATACTTAGCGTGTGTTTCACGTGTGGGTATTAACGAGCGGCGTAAGGAGTGCAGCTCATATTGTCAATCAAAGGTTGCCTCATCAGTAAATATATGACAAACATGTCTATTTTTCATATTATTAGATGGCATGTAATAGACTTATGATAATGCTCTGGAAAGTATTTGACTTATGATGATTGTAAAAATTTAATATGTTAGAATTTGTAAGACTATTTTACATAATATAAGTTAATTAATGTTTTATTATTATTACATTAAATTTTTTTATGTATAGAAACAAAATTTTACAGGTTTTCAAAAGAGAAAATGCTTTTAAAAGTCATGTGACATCTGTGAGTTGTGTACGGAAGCATATACGGGAAATGAGGGTTATATAAATAATTAAAAAATAAATTTGTTATTAAAAGTAAGAATTGAAGTTCCATAGGTATTATATAGTTGTAGAGGAGTGTGTGGTTCAAATTTTTTCAAAATAATCTTAAAATAAATGAAAATATGAAGAAATGAGAAAATCATACAAAGTTGGGGACTAAATTGTAAAAATATGCCCCTTTTTCAAAAAAAAAAACTAAAGTTACATGGATATTCTACATTAGTTTAGGATATTGTAGTTTAAGCTTGATTAATATTAGACTTAAAACAAATAAGAAATTGAAGAAATAAAGAAAACAGAGACCAAATGACAAAATAATCCAATTACGCTTATCTAAAGACAAATCTTGCAGCACATAGAGAAATTATTAAAGAAAAACTGGATGGTTGAACTAAATCACATACCTAGAGAAGCCAATCAAGCAGCGGATACAATAGCCAAGCAAATATGGAGATATCAGGGAGACACAATCGTTCTGCAGAATTCCCCCAAGGAAGCTGATAAGTTTCTAATTGTTGATAAAACGGGCAGTTAAGCAACCCTTTGTACCTTTTTAACCAAAAAAAATCTTTGTTTTTTTCGATTATTCAAACTTTTTTTAAATTCAAACTAGACTCAAAATTGAAATTCGAACTCAAAATTTAAGTTGACTCGATCAACTGAATAACTTATAATTAAAAGATAATATTTTAAAATGAATCATTTTTTTCTTATCCTAACAAATTGTAGTACATGTTTAGAATTTTCTTAATCAATTGACAATATACTTTATAAATGTAACTGTTTGAATCCAATATCTGTAAATAGAATAACATTTTCTCTTACCATTATCGTTAAAATAAGATTATTATAATTAATTAGATTTTTCCTTATCCTATTGTTTAGCAAAAATAATCCCTAAATTAAAAAAAAAAAACATATGAAACCTCCATCCTTCAACAAAGAACTTAACTGTGGTGCCCTAAGAGAAACATTTAATTCCATGATATGCCCTTTAGCATCATGAGTATGGTGCTTAATGAGTTGAGCAGCTCGTGAGTAGCTTAAACTTGACTCAATCAAAATTCATTCAAAGCTCGAATTAGGTTGACTCGATTTAAACTTAAACTCGACTCAAGATCTTAACGAGTTGAGTTGAGTAAAGTCTAACTCGACTTGATAGACTCCTGAGCAACTCCTTAAATTTTTTTAATAATTTTTATTGCTTATCTTTAAAAATATTTCATTAAAAGAATTACTAATTTATTAATAAAAAGTTGACAATTTTTTAGTTTATTAATTTTTAATAAATAATAAAAAATACTAAATTATTATTTCATTACACCCAAGAAAGTAAACCCTAATTGCTCAAAAACTTTAAAAAACTTAACGAGCAACGAGTTGAACAATGAGCAATGAGCTTAACGAGAAACGAATTTAATGATAAACAGGTTTTTTTAACAAATTTAACAAAAAATGAGTCGAGTAATAGTTTTTAACAAAATATTTTAAGAGAAAGAATAAGAGTGTTCTTAATAGATCTAAAACTCATTATATAAAAAAAATATGAAAGAACAAAAATGAATAACTATCGATCAACCGATCAAATATATTTACTTAATATCTATATAAATTTTGATTCATATGTTTTTCTTCATAACTCAATTCAATAAAAGTGGCAACGAAATTATCCGATATTCATGCAATTACTTCGGACATGAAATAATATGGCACATCATTCACCAACACCCAATAATTCAGATGAGATCAAAGGACCACTAACGGACCGTCACCTTCCTTTGACTTATATTATGTACAGAATCTATGAACGTCGTTTCAAATTAGTCCCTAAACATTTTAATATTTCAATTTCATCCTTAAACTATGACTATTATTTTAAAATAATCTTTAAACTTTTAAATATTTTATTTTCATCCCCAAACTGTGATATTCATTCTAAATTAATTCCCAAACTTTTTGAATATTTCAATTTTATCCTAAATTATACGCACATACAAATCATATCTCTTGTTATAAAATCATCAGACCAAGTTATATTCTTATATATTTGAAAAATAAAATAAAATTTGGGTTAAACTATGATTGAAATGGATTACATATTTGGATGAATTTGGGGATGAAATTGGAAGATCTAAAAGTTTAGGGACCAATTTAGAATACTATTATAGTTTGGAGATAAAATTGGAATATTCAAAAGTTCAAGGACTAATTTAGAATGAGAGTCATAGTTAGGGGATGAAATTAAAATGCTTAAAATTTTAAGGACTAATTTGAAATGAGAGTCATAGGTTGGGGACGTATGATGCAATTAACTTTACTTTAAATATATTTGTTAATTGACTTGATGGATAGGCATTAAGTTGTTCATCCACTGGGCCTTTCAACTCTTACCGTGAACGGTCAACCGTGCATTGGGAATTCAGAATTGTAGCTATTTTCTTTCGCTAATGATGCGATCTAATCACATATGTGGGAAGGTGTAAATGTGTGAAAGGTTTTTGTATTATTTAAAATCAGTTTTCTTTAATTTCTTTTTGTGAAATTGACTTCATGTATTTAAAAAAAAACAAAAAGGTCCCTCCTAACTTCTGGTAAGGGATAGTAATCTCAACCTGATAAATGAGAGCCGTGGCGGATGAAAATGGAGTTTAAGGTGGGCAGGAATCTGAATTTCTTTATATTAAGACGTTCATTTTAAAATTTTATTTGTACTCATTTTATACGAAATATTTTTACTAGTAATACATGTGTCTACCTAAAAAAATATTTTTTGTATCCGCCACTCGATCATGTCCAGATAGTTATGGTGTTCCACCCGTCTTAACTTTCGGTTTTAAACTACTTTTCGTGTGGAGAAAATAATCGTTAACGATAAAGTGATCGATTTATTATTAAACGATAATATTATTGGTTTTTGGATTTTTAAAGCGGAAAGGAAAAACCTGTTCATATTTCAATGACAATCTATATAATTTACCTTATTTTTAATGATGATTAATTGATTTGGCTCGGAATGAAGTTGATGGCAGCGATCAGCGTTTGGTTGAAGCAAACGTATGCATGAAGATAAACTAGTTGGTTCAAGTATTGCTCGGCTTCAAAGTTTTAACTTTGAAGTTACATAAGAAAGATGCCAAATCCAGCAAGCAATTTCACATGATAATCAATATTATGAAAAATCCCTTCTAATCGTCTACAAGTGAAGCAACTCTGTATTTCAAAATACGTATGGAAATAGTTCAATAAACAAATAATGAATGCCGGCTCTACTCCAAGCACCGCCTTGAGCCGTTGTTGCCGGTAGTTTACTCTACGGTGTTGTAGAGGCCGCTTCCCCGGGGCTCTCCGCTTGGGAAAAACGCTCCTAGCACTGGCTCTACGACCTTGCACATACAACATTAAGCAGCACATGGCATAACATGAGATCGACGAAGTACTGGTGTCCGATTTCGCCGTCTCTCCACTTCATCTTCAGGGGAGCCCTCCCGTAATGAACGCCGTCATTGCATCTATTATCGAAGTGCCATGAATAGGTCATATCGAAGTTATCGATCACACTCAAAACCAGCCTGGCTTGCCTCAACTTCTCTAAGAATAATCCATTGAATGCTTCCATCTTGTGAGGATTGAATGCAAGTGATCTAGCATACCCGCCGGTTGCGATTGTGGACCGGAACACAATTTGTGGCACCGGAAGCCCTTTCTGCCTCACCGATTCCATAACGTCTTTCCAGAAATACGCTGCATACTCTGCCCCGTGTGAAAACGCTCGAATATTCAACCAGTGAACTCCGTCATGCAAGCCGGAGTTCATGATGATAGTGTCCGGGACATTCTCACCCGAGAAGTAATTCTTTACGAAGTTCCGAAACCCTGCATCTTTCAAAGAATCCAAGCCCAAGTAATTCTGTGTTCCATTCCAATGACCATTGAAAATGCTAGTGATTCGAACCGTCTGAGACCGATCTTCAGGGTTCGAGAAGTTCATATCGAACCTTCTCGGCACAGATTTGATCTCAGGCAAATCCAACACGAAATTAAGAACGTTCCTGATCGTATCGACATGATTCGAGTCGCCCCAGAAGAAAATCCACCTGTCCTTCAAGCAATCCCAACCAGAACCAGCTGAAAACAACTGAAACGAACAATGGCTAGAATAAACCCAACCATTACTCTCCAAAACTCCTAATGAACCATTGCACCATGGACTCTTACACGGAAAATCCGGTTCCAGGCATCGGTAACGACCATCGTTGCTAATCCGACAATCATCATTCTTCCCATGCCTAGTCCATCTACCAGACCAAACATCTCGATCAAAATCGGATTTTCGACAAGTTTTCAGCTGAGGCAACTGAGCATTAGTCCTAAAGAACCTAATCCCTATATGGCGTAATTGTCTATCAAACACAAATCTAGCAGGCGAGAATTTAAGACCTTGGAAATGTCTGAAGAGCAGAATGACAGTGAGATTATAATCACCAGCAAAATCAGGATGAACCTGAAGCGAAACCGAGTAAGAACCGTTGCCGAAATCTTTAACAACAGGCCTTGATTTCCATGAATCACCCGAAAGATCGAATTCGAAGTAATCCCCACCTAAACAACGAGCATTCCCGGACTCATCAACAGCTTGAAACACAAAATTATGGATTTCACCAGCAGATAATTCCACCATTTTTTCATGATCCAAACCAGGAATATTGATTCCCATGGTTTCAGAGTCCTTACAAGGTTCTCCTCCTTTAGCCAACCACCTGCTCAATAAATTTGCAGTAAAGTTGTTCTCAAGCTCAGCCGAAACCCAGTTCAGAACAGAAAAATCATCGGATTTCGTTGAATCAACACTGGAAAGGGGGAGGTTTGTAGTGTTTAAAGTGGGGTTTAAGGTGAAATTTCGAAGGGAATGTGAGGGATTTTGGTGAGTTTGATTGATATTAACAAAGGCCTTCACTTTCAAGGTGATGTAATCTTGTTTAAACTGCCATGACTTGATGAAATCCTTGATGGTGCAGCCATCTATGCTCCAAACCACCACAATGCCGACGAGAACCAAAGTTGTTAACAACCCAAAACGCCATTGATGAACTGGAACAAAGTTCCCTCCTTTCTCAGGCATCTGCAAATAAAACAAAGTGAAAACCCAGAAAGAACAACAATAATAAAAAAAAACCCTTTACTTTTCAGCACCAAAGAACAACAATGGCATATTTATTTTATTCGAAACATCCAATAAAAGGCTTTCCAAAGCACGAAGCTTTTGAGTTTATCAATGGAAAAAATAACATAAAAAATGAGCCTGCGATTTACTTACTGGATATGCTTAAAAAATCAAATAGAAGACCAAAAAGAGCTGATCTTCTTCTTCAAATATCGCCGGCTTATGAAATCAAAGATAAATGCTTGAACTATAACTTGGTTTTTATGTTATAACTATTATGCCATAACTATTTATTGAAAATTTGATTTTATTATTTTTAAATTATACTAAATTAATTTAGGTGTTTTTCCAAAAAAAAAAAATCATTGGTGATCGGTATATTTATCGATCTAACACCGATTAAATTATATTTTTTGATCTAACACCTGTAGCAGTAAAGCGCGCCCCTGAACCACGCTATATGTTGATTTGGCGTCATGTGGAGTATAGCGCAACCCTTGTACCGCGCTATACGCTGACTGGGTTACACGTAGGGTATAGCGTGCGCCCTGCTCCGCGCTATACGCCACGTAGGGGTATAGCGCGGATCAGGGGCGCTATACACCGAACCAAAATTATATTTAATGCGGTCCATGGCCCGCGCTATATAATAATTACATATAACGCGGTGCAGGTACCGCGCCTTATATGTTTATAAATACACTCATCCGGTTCTCACATTTCCTCGTATCTCTCCTCTCTTATAAATTAATACAATAATTCCGTCAACAAGTAATATTTATGGCAATCTTCTCATATTTGATTTAGAAGTTCGTGCGATTTTTCGTTATAAGGTAATTTTGTTATACTTTTTTAATTATACTTATAGTTTATTATCATTATTTGAAAAAATATTATACTCATTATTTTCAATTAATTTTTATGTTTGTAAAATTGAAAAGTGGGAGCATACGTCGAAATAGTTTTGCGGTGCAGGTAATAATATAAAATTATATTATTTAAATTATTTACGTTGATGTGTAAAAAAAAATTTGTGTTATATTTTCGTTCATATATAATTTATTTAATCAGGTTTGTTTCAATTAATTTTTTTGCAGATATAATATTGCCGTATTTTTAAACTCAAAAAATGGCGCGACTTTCAGCTATTGTTTATTATGATGGCGAAATTCGAGAAGATGAAACCGGCGTTGTTTTCGTATCAAATGAGCGTGTTAAAATATCATTCAAGAGAAACATAACTCTTGAGGAGCTGATAACAAAGATTTCGAGGAATATTCATGTTGGAAGTAGTAGAATAATGTCGTCGTTGCAGTACAGATTTCCAACATCATTGTTGTCATTAACTTATACAGCGTTCGAACTTTCGAACAATGATGATGTTCAAATGATGGTTGAAGCTCAAAGTAATTATTCAGACGTCTCTATTGAGATGTATGCACATTTTGTTCAAGTGTGTTCTGTTCGGGGTCAATCTTTAAGCTCACACTATGGGCTAGCTGAACAAGTTGATCAAGTTGACAGCCCGACTACAGTAATGTGTAATGATTTTAATGTCATAATGGGGAGACATTCATCTGTAACTCCTTACGATATGTACCGAGGTGGGTCCACGAACAATCCGTATGGCAACACCGCGTCCAGTTCAAGGGGAAGGCATTCATCTGCAAATTTCTTTGACCATATAAAGATGTCATCGACGCAACCATCTGTGCAGTTTTCATTTGACACGATGGTTCTGACTCGAGGAGGATTTCTTCGTATCACTGGTTCTTACTCCTCGCTGTCATCATCATCGTCATCGTCGTCGTCGTCATCGTCATCGTCATCTTCGTCATCGTCATCGTCGTTATCGTCGTCGTCCTGAGCAGGTACATTAGGTTGATGAGGAGTTGATGACGATGAAACACCTCCATATAATAAAGACCCTGGAGATGTATGACTGACTATGTCACCGGCCTACGAGAATTGGGAAAACTAGGAAAACCCAGACATCGCTGAGTGTTAAAACTGAGTTTGAAAAATGCAATAAAAATACTTTTATTTTATTTTTTAAAAAGTGTAATTAAAATTTAATTGATTTAGATTGACATTAAAAATAAATTTGAAAATATAAAATATTTATTTTAGATTTTATATTATAAATTAAAATTAAGTAATTGAGAATAAAATATATTTCATCTAAAAGTGATTTTCTACTGAAAGTTAAAAAATTGAAAATTTTAAGGTTAAGTTAAAATTATTTTTCAATCACAATTTTAATTCAGCTTTTTAGGTGTTTGGGATTACTTGTGGGGGTGAAAGATTACTTTTCTATCGCTAGAATCATTCTCAAGCTGGCCCAATTTTTTAGAAAGATTAGTCGTTAAAAGCATAATTATGTTACGTTTAGTATTCAATCTAATACTTTTGTTGTGCTTTAGTCACTTATCTATTTTATGTTTTAAAAAATGATACCTAACATTATGTTATGTTTTCATTTCGGTCACCCACCGTTTAAAAAATTAACGGTGATGATGGCGTGTCATCATAAGATAATTTTATATCATCATTGAATTTTAAAAAAAAATATCATGTCAATAGTTTTGTTAATTTTTATCGATAGATGATTAAAATAAAACTAAAACATAACACTATATATGTTTTAAAAATAATAATAATTAGACGATCAAAATAAAAATATTATAGTTAAAATACTAAACATGTAGTTTATATTAATTTATATCAGTACTAATAACACCAAAAACAATAGTAAATATATAATATTTTTATCAACATTTTGCTAAAATAAATAACTACACTATATGATCTCCTATTTTAGGATTTTCAGTTTAGTCCCTATATACTTTTAATAATTATTAATTTTGCAAGTATTTTATATTTTATGTATTTTTGTCACTTGCGACATTTTTAACTAATACAACCCCATCTAGACAAATCTTCAACAACTCTCAACATTTATGACTAAAACAATATTAAAAGCTTCACTTAACCCTCAATATTCTATTGGTTTGATCATTAATTTCATTTAACCAAAACCTACAAAATAGGTCATAAGACTATGCAATAGTTTAACTAAAATAACATATATTAAAATTATTAGAGAAACCTTATTGATTTATAGAATTCTATCGGTTTATTTTTCGGTTTAATCATTAATTTTTATCTAATAGTTAATTGATTCATATTAAATATTGTATAGACATATTATAAAAAAATAATCCTCCTAAATTAATTTTTTTTCATTCATATTGGCTAATTTTTTACTGTAAGGATGTGAAAAAAAGTAATTGCTCGAATAATGGTTGGTTGGAATTACTTTTTGAAATAGAGTATTTGATACAATACATTTTGGGACGCATGAAACACAATGCGATTGTAATATGAAATTGGGGGAGACTCATATAGTGCAATATGTCTCCCTATATTTATTTTTTAATAATATTCCAAATTAAATTTGAGAAAATAACCTCAGTGACCAAAAATCTCATATAATATACGATTTTAACCAACTTTTTCCGGATTTTCCAAAATGACCAACAAAATCGCAATGCGATCGCTAATTCGCAATGCGATCTCCATTATCGCAAATCAGTTTCCAGATTCGCAACGCGATTATGACTATCGCAATGCGATTTTCCAATTTCGCGTTGCGATTTTCCCAATTCGCAATGCGAATAAGTAAATCGCAATGCGAATTTGGAAAATCGCAATGCGATACTGACTATCGCAACGCGATAATACAAAAATCGCAACGCGATACTGACTTTCGCAACGCGATACTGACTTTCGCAACACGATTCTGACTTTCGCAACGCGATTCTGACTTTCGCAACGAGATTCTGACTATCGCAACGAGATAATACAGAATCGCAATGCGATTTTCAAAGTTCGCAACAGGTTTTAGTTTCGCAACACAAATTTTTTGGGTATATATCTACGCAGCAGCAACAACTCATAACCTAAATCCCTAAATCGCAAATCATTCCATCTCCATCTATCACTCTCTCCGGAGACATCCGTTCCTATATCCGTTCCTACATCCTTCCCCATCCGGCAATAGGTCTTAGTTTCGCAGCTCGTTTGTTTAGTAAATTAATTTACAACCATGAAATCATCTAATGTTGATCATGTTTGGATAGATTTGTGTTTTGGAGGGTCATGGGAGAATGTTCATGGTGTTTTACAATATATGCCTTTACCCATGAATCTTCAACTAAAACTGTCATTAAAAAAGTTAACTTATGAAACTCTAATGTTACGTGTTTCAAAGAAATTGAATTTAGAGCCCCTAAGTGGATTTAGGCTATCTTATCAGAGAAATGGTAAAGTTTATTTGTTAACCGACAATGAAGATATTGAACGATTCATTGCTTACATTAGTGTTTCAAGTGATGATGTTACATTGTATGTTGTTGAACCTAGAAGTAGTATTGTTGGGTCAGTAGCGGGTAGTAATCAACTAAGTTTTTCTCAAAACCCACAACCTTTCTCTAATCCAAATCCCAATCAACTTTCAGCACCAAATTCCGGTTTTCGTATTGACCAATTAGACGATGATGAGCTAACAGAAAAAATTGTGAGTACTAGTCAGTATTCGAAATTTGATCTTGGTCAATACCTGGACTTTGATATTGGTCAATACCCGAATTTTTGATGATGAAACAGTCGTTGCCGAGGAAGATGTTGTTGATGATAATGAGGAGGAAGTTACGACTGTGAATGAACATGTTGAACATCCATTCTATAATTCATATAATCCTGAAGAAGAAAAAGAAGAAGAAAAAGTCTCCGAAGAAAAGAAAATGCCACGGGAGTATAACTGGAATATGCCAGAATTACTTCAGATACCGGAAGAAGAGTTGGTAAAGAAAGTAGTTGATTGTTACACAAAAGTTATTCGTATCAAGAAAGATGATTGTTTTGATACAAAGGAAGACTTGAAGATAGCTTTGTATACGAAATGTGTGGAAGATGGCTATCAACTAAAAGTTAACAAATCAAGCAAAGATCGTTTCGAAACAAGGTGTATGATTGACAAAAACTGTACGTGGCGTATGATTGCAAAGAGGATAAAAGATTGCGAAATGTTTCAAGTTAGGACTTTTATTGATAAACATACATGTTCAAGAACCCAAGTTTTTCCTCACCATAGACAGGCAAACAAAAAGGTGTTGGGTGGTTTTCTGGCTGAGTTAATGTTTTTGAATGGCAGGGTATATCGGGGACATGAAATTAT